GCAATATCCAGGTTTCAGGTCTAGATCTATCTGGCTCTGAAGCCACACTTTCAAATCTAGATCCTACAACAGTGCTATCCAATTGAAATATAACTTTAGCCATATATATAATGTAAATTAGTCTAGTAGTCACATTTTTAGAAGTAATAAAAAACAAGTGGGATTTTTTAAAAGATGTTATTTATTTGACAGAGAGAGCAAGAGAGCACAAGCAGGGAGAGAGGTGGAGGGAGAGGGAGAAGCTCCTGCTGAGCAAGGAGCCCAATGAGGGGCTTGATCCCAGGACGCTGAGATCATGACCCGAGCCGAAGTCTGATGCTTAATTGACTGAGCCACTCAGGTGCCCCAAAACAGGTGGAAATTAAATTCAATAACATATTATGTCAAATCCTAAATACCCAAAATATCATTCCAACATGTAATCAATAAAAAAATACTGTGATAAAAAGATTAAAAAATATTGTGATATTGAACATATTTTTCATAGAAAGTCATCCCAACCCAGTGTGTATCTTACACGTACAGCCTGTCTCCATTCTAACTAGCTAGATTTCAAGTGGTTAAGAACCACATGTGGTTGTGGCTGGACACTGGACAACAACAGCCTGGAATTTAAGGATTTTGGTTTCCCAACCCCAAATCCAGTGCCGACTAAATATAGGAGACCAAGAAAATCATTTAATAATCTCTCGGCTAACCTCTGTTCTCTACTTCTCTACTATTCATTCTGTCAACAAAAACAGTATTTATCAAGAGCCTGTGCAGTGCCAGGCATTATTCCCGTATCTGGGGATACTGCAGCTAATAAAGCAAGGCCCCTGCTTTTGTGGAGCTTATGATTTTAACGGGGTGGGGTGGGGGACATAAACAAATCGGTAAGCAGGCAGTATTCACCTAGTCAAATGTGCAATGGAGAAAAATTCAGCAGGAAATGGGGGGGTAGACTGCGCAACAATTGCAAAAGACTTAAGATGGGAGTATCCTTGACACGTTCAAGTAAAAGACAGAAGAACGTGGCTAGAGCTGAGTGGGTGTGAGGGGCAGGCACAGATGGGGATGGTTGGAATATGGTCGAAGAGATAACAGGTGATGGGGCAGATCATGGAGGCATAGGAGGACTTTGGATTTTACTCGGAGTAAAGGAGCGACGTGAACTGATGAGGATGTTGGAATTAATTCGGTTGAAAAGCAACGGTTCCAGCTTTTCCAAAGGGCTATGCATATAAGAAGCAGCCAATAAACGTTAGGACGCTCCTGGGCAAATATTAGTTTATAACACTAAATTTGAAGGCCTAGCATTGCATGTAACGGTGGTGTAGATCTACCTTAATTCCCATCAGGCGACTCTAGAGAGCTGATAAAGGAATTCTGTATGGGTACGTGTGCTTGCAATTCACATTGATTGTCTATTGTCCTGATGAAGACTACTCAAGAACTGGTCCTCATCCTTTGAGTCCGGCCTAATGACTGTCTGGGAAGCATTAATGTATGAACTTTCCTCCTCCTCTGAGACCACTAACTGTACATATTAGGGAAACTCACTGTAGAGAAAAAGCCCAGGAATTCAGAAGGAAGCACGATAGAAAGACGTGCTTGGTGTCAGAAAGAACTGAATTTGAATATGAGTTCTACCATTTGCTGGCATTTGGCTTTGGGCCAATCACATTACCTCTCTGAACTTCCTTTTCTCCTCTGTAACGTGGAGATGGTGATATCTATATTTTAGCAGTATTTGGCATATCTACACACATATAGTGTCAAGCTGTTGTGTAGAGAAATAGTTCAATAATCAGTAGCTACTGTGATGTGTTCAACAAAATTTTTGAAAACCTACTACATATAAAGTACATCATTATGCTTGTGCCCCCCCCCCAAATTCATATGTTGAAACCCTATCCTCTATTGTGATAGTAGTACTAGGAGTAGGGGCCTTTGGAAATAGTACTAAGAATACTTAGTATTAGAGGAGGTCATGATGGAAATGCCCTCATGAATGGAATTGGTGTTCTTATAAAGGTCCTGAGAAGTTTCCTTTGCTTAGCTCTTCACTGCATAAGGATACAAGAAGTCATCAACTGGCAACCCAGAAGTGGGCTCTCACCAGAACCCAACCATGCTGATACCCTAATGTCATACTTCCAGACTCCAGAACTATGAAAAATAAATTTCTGTTGTTTATACACCACCCAGTAAATGGCATTTTGTTATAGCAGCCCAACCTAAGACGCACATATGTACAGAAAATAATGATTCTTCCTTTCAGGATGTTTACAGTTTGTACTAGGGAGATTAGGCATACACAAATATATCCAATAAGACAGAATGTGCTTGCACAAATGAGATACAAGATATAATACCAATAATAGCTACCATTTATTGCTTGCTTACAATAAGTCAGGCACTATGCCCAGTGTTTCATAAACATCTCATTCTATTTTTATAAATTCCACCTTAAAAAGTACTATTTTTATCTCTGTTTCACCAAAACGGAAGCTGAGGGCCAGAGAGAGGAAATGAGTTGCCCAAGGCTGCACAGCTGGAGAGTGGCAGAGGACAGAAGTGAGTTCCATTCTGGGGTCTAGTCATGACATCCTTTTTTTTTCTTTTTTAGATTTTATTTATTTATTTGACTGACAGAGATCACCAGTAGGCAGAGCAGCAGGTTGGGGCGGGGGGTGGGAAGCAGGCTTCCGGTGAGCAGAGAGCCCGACTCAGGGCTTGATCCCAGGACCCTGGGATCATGACCCGAGCTGAAGGCAGAGGCCTAACCCACTGAGCCACCCAGGCACCCCTAGTCATGACATCCTTATCAGAAAAATCCATGCCTATAACTCCTAGGCTTTGTCCAAGTTTTACATTTTGTTCACCCATTTCCAATCCATCTTTTTTTTTTAATTTAACTCTACTTTGAAATATCAGCTAAAATTTGAATGAATACCGTGTTGCCTCAAAAAACCCATAATTCACTGGACTTTCCATTCTGAAGTTAGTGTCTGTATAGGAAAAAAGAGGAACAGCAATTTTACAACCTCCTCCAATCATCATAGCACTGAGAGCTTGTTGTTCTGCCCAACACTGTGAATCACCAGACTGATCAGGGGGCACATCCTAAGTCCTGGGGTATATGTGGCCTTAATAACTATCAGAGTTCTGTGCAAGGTTCTACACACTCTTTCAGGGTGATCTCATTTATTCTCATGTCTTTAGCTACCATCTGTGAGACTCTGACTCTGAAAGGGCTGCCTCCAGCTCAGTTCTCTCTCTCCTTTGAACTCTGTCTGGGCACCAGCACCTGGGTGTTTCATAGACACCTCATGCTCAATATATCTGCATATGAACTCATCTTTCCTGCCTCACCCACACTGCTTTGTGTTTCCTAGCTCAGGAAAAAAAAAAAAAAAAGCACTACCATGTCCACCCAAGGTAGACATCTAGACACCTGTGACTCCTTCTATCTTTAGCTCTGGTTAGTCATCAAATCGTTCTCTTCTATATTTTTAAAATCTGTCTTTTGTCCTATAATTATCTCTCAGCTGGAGTTGTGCCAAAGCTCCTAAACTGGTCTTCTTTCTCCAGGTTCTCCTTTCTTAAGCTTTTCTCCACCTTGCAGCCGGAGTGATCTTTTTAAAACTCACAGATGTTCTTTAAGTCTAGCACAAAAAGTCCTCCAGGGTCTGGTCCTTACTCATTTAAATATTTCAGCCCCTAACCTCAGATTCTATACCCTAATTCTATTTAACTCCATATCCTTTTGAACATGCGGTTCCCTTCACCTGAATTTCTCTTTTCTCCCTTCTTTATCTAACATCTGTTGATCCTTCAAGTGGGCATTGATTACCATTTCCTGGAATCCTTCACTAATGTCCCCAGGATGGACCAAGTGTCCTGCTTGCTTCCAAAGGGGTTGAGTTCCTGATATCTCATTTTCCTATTGAATCAAATTACATGGTACAGACTCAGCTTAATCTTCTGATTCCAACAACTTACCTATAAACCCTTTTGAGGGTAGAGATGGAGCTAACAGCTAACAAAATGTCTAGAACAGTCTATAGACTTCCAAAAAATGTTCAATATTTTTAAAAAAATGAATGGGAGGTAGGGAAGGTTACAGCAAAGGGACTAGAGCTCGAAGTGCCAGTACAGTACAGTAATTAAGACAGAGGGTTCTGAAGTCAATGGCTTACATTGGTACTAGAGCCCCTCCTCTCCTTCGCATGTTGTTTAACAACTCGCCTGGGTTTTCCCATCAGTAAAATTAGGGTAATAATTCTACTTGACTCATAGGGCTGCTGTAAGGATCAAATTTAAAATTGATATATTGTTCATTTTTTGCATTAAATTTGTAAAATACTGCACTAAAACAGTGTTTATCTTAGCCACTGAGTTTCTGGTGTCCCTTTAATTTTTTTACTCCAGAAGAGTATCTCATTCACTTCACTTTAGTCTTCACTTTGTCCGCAGCTTATATACTTGACAAATATTAGCATTCAATAAACATTGATTTATTTATCTCCCTATATTTTCAAATTAAGTAAAACATATACGGTAAAGTGAACAAATATTAAGTGTATTGCTGAACTCTCTAATTGTTCAGAACATTACGCTTCGCAGTAAACGGTGTCTTTTCACCCTCAGGTACCCCAACAAAAAAAAATCCGTTTTGTAAGCCTCTCTTTTCCCAGTTTTCCACTGCTCCCTTCCCCAGGCTTTCTTTTGCCCCTGTCAATTTCAAGAGATTTCCTAGACTAAAACATTCCAGATCGTCAAACTTGAAAATGTATTTTCCTAGAGGACTGCCCACGACCTCAAGCCCCCTCGTAAATCCCAGGAGACCCTTCAAAGGAGGCCGCCATCTTCCATACAGTCTCGCATTACGTCTCGCGCATGCGCTTCTATTTGCGAGGCTGCAAAGAGGGAGATTTTTATCCCTTCTCGGCACCCTTACATCGTAGGGCACCGGTGTCAAGATTTACGTGACGTCCGCTTCTTGCCGGAAGTGGAAAGACGGGGAGGAGGTGTTGCACTTTCCAGAGGGGTTTAATTTTAGGGCTCGGGGTTAATTGTTTAAAATCTCCGAGGTACTGGGGTGGATATATTACCCACTTTACGAGAAGAGACTAGAGTGCGCTCGGAGGCGTGTTTCTAGTGTAAGTGGGTACGCGTCTTTGATGCTGGCTTAAGGGGACCTAAACCATTCTTTTAAAAAAACTTCATGGTGCCGCCTCGCTCTCTTTGAAAGGCATTTTCAGAGAGGTGGAACGCCTAGATTCTAGATTGATCCAAACTCTGCCACTGACTTGCTGTGTGCCCTTGGGCCCCTCTCCGAGTCCCAGTGTCTTCATCTATAGATGGAAGAGTAGACAAAGTCTCTTAAGTCACCTCTTAGTTCTGAATGTTGTTCCATGCCCGAGCCACAAAGGCTTGGGGGTTAAATATCGTTGGCCCCTTTTTATAAGGAGGACATTGAGTCCCAGGTTTGACGACTTCCTCAAGATTGCACAGAAAACTTTGAGATTTCAGATATTGAGACTAGAAGATTGTGCTGTAAGTCCACGACCACGACTCCTTTGTATATTTCTGTATCAGTTCCTGAAACTGGCCTATAGTAGTTACTGAAACAGTTTGAATGGATGAATGAAACTTTTGATATCAAGGCCAGTGACATAAGCAGATCGATTGTTTCTCTGCCCTTCTAATGTATTAACAGTGTAACACTGCTCCAGGTGTTTCTTCTGCTTTACTTGACTGGGGACTCTGAAACCAGTTCTGTTGTCTTCAACTTAATCAGACAGCATGGAGGCACCTCCGGTCACCATGATGCCTGTCACTGGAGGCACTATTAATATGATGGAGTACCTGCTGCAGGGTAAGTGAGCCAGGCAACTTGGATGACCTGTTTTCCTCTCTCTGTTCATCATCTGTGGGGATGAGAGGCTGTTATACAGAGGCAGCCTGCATGATTTCTGGCACTCAATAGATAACAACTTTTTAAAAAGAATTTAAACGTTAATTATGGTCACAGACACAAACACATTAAATTAAGTGTACAGTTCAGTAGTGTTAATTACATTCACATTGTTGTATAACTAATTTCTAGAACTTTTTCATCTTGCAGAACTGAAACTCTATACCCTTTGAACACTAATTGCTCCTTCTCCTCACCGCCCCCCTGCCCTTCAGCTCTTAGCAATCACCTTTCTTTTTTGTTTCTGATTTTGACTACTTTATATATTTCATATGAGTGGACTCATGCAGTCTTTTTATGACTGACTGGTTTTACTTAGCATAATGTCCTCAAGGTTCATTCCTACTGTAGCATGTGACTGGATCCCCCTCTTTAAAGCTGAATGACATTTCATCGTGTGGATATACTACATTTTCTTTATTCATCTGTCATTTGGGTTGCTTTCACCTCTTGGTTATCATGAATATTGCTGCAGCAAACATGGGGGTGCAAATATCTCTTCAAAATCCTGCTTTGAGAGGTGCCTGGGTGGCTCGGTCCTTGAACATCTGCCTTCAGCTCAGGCTGTGATCTCAGGGTCCTGAAATCAAACCCCACATTGGGTTCCCTGCTCAGTTCTCTGCTTCTCCCTCTCCCTCTCCCCCCTCACTCATATTCTCTCTGTCTCTTTCTCTCAAATAAAATCTTTAAAATAAAATAAAAATAATCTAAATTAAAAAAAAAAAAAACAGGTAAAATAACTTGCCCAGGTAGGAGAACTCAAGATCCAGAGAGAGTAGTGATTTTCAGGAGGTCAGATAATGTTTTGTGCAAGAGTTTAGACTTTAATTCAGATCATCCATTTGGTAACTTAATATGAACAACATTAGGTTATTAATTTTCACTTCTTAAGCTACCTCTTCTTCAGTCTTTCCCAACCCAGTAAGTGCCACTGTCATTCACCAGTTGCATGAGCCAAGCATTTAGGAGTCAATCTCTGCTTTTCACTTTACCCCCACATCTAGTCCATCTCTAAGTCGTCATATTCATTTTACTTCCAACATATATATTTTTTTAAGATTTTATTTATTTATTTGACAGAGAGAGTGAGAAAGCACAGCAGGCAAAGCAGCAGAGGGAGAGAGAAGGGCAGGCTCCCCACTGAGCAGGAAGCTCGACGCAAGGCTTGATCCCAGGACCCTGTGATCATGACCTGAGCCGAAGGTAGACTCTTAACTGACTGAGCCACCCAGGTGCCCCTCAACATATATTTTATTTTTTTTTAAGATTTTATTTATTTATTTGACAGAGATCACAAGTAGGCAGAGAGGCAGGCAGAGAGAGAGAGAGGGAGAAGCAGGCTTCCTGCTGAGCAGAGAGCCCGATGCGGGGCTCGATCCCAGGACTCTGGGATCATGACGTGAGCCGAAGGCAGAGGCTTTAACCCACTGAGCCACCCAGGCGCCCCTCAACATATATTTTAAATACGTATTTTCTCCATCGGCAATGCCCTACACTGGTTTATCATCTGGGACTTGAACTATTTTAGTAACCTTTTACTTATTAAATCGTTTCTACTTCTGATTATCTCTGTCTCTTCCCACACCAACAGGTAGTCATCTTTTTATTTTTTATTTATTTATTATTATTTTTTTAAAGTAAACTTTGTGCCCCCAACGTGGGGCTTGAACTCAGGATGCGCAGATCAAGAGTTGCATTCTAGGGGTGCCTGGGTGGTTCAGTTTGTTGAGTGTCTCACTGCTGATTTTGGCTTGGGTCCTGATCTCAGGGTCTTGGGATCAAGCCTCATGTCAGGCTCTGCGCTCAGTGGAGAGTCTGATTCTCTCCCTCTCCCCCTATCCCTCTCCATGTGTGCTCTCTCAAATAAATCTTAGGAAAAAAAAAAGTGGGGAGGAGTTACATGCTCCACCAACTGAGCCTGGTAACAATGTAGCACTTCTCCAGGTGTTTCTTGTGCTTTACCTGACTGAAGACTCCTAAACCAGTTCTGTTGTCTTCAACTTAAACAGTGTGGCGGCACCTCTGATCACCATGTTGCCCGTCACTGGAGACATCATTAATACTATGGAGTACCTGCTGTAGGGGACCTACCAGGCGTCCCAGGTAGTCATCTTTTTAAATAATTGTTTTATTATTTAAAAATTCAAACTAATATAGTGAACAGTCCATTTCTATCCTCTAGATTTCAGTTTGTATCATTTTGCCATATTTGCTTCATCTTTTTTCTTTCACTATTTTTTTAAGTTTTTTTTTTAAGAGAGGGAGGGGCGGGAAGTTGGTGGAGGGAGAGGGAGAGAGAGAATCTTTTTTTTTTTTTTTTAAGATTTTATTTATTTATTTGACAGAGAGAGATCACAGGTAGGCAGAGAGGCAGGCAGAGAAAGAGAGGAAGGGAAGCAGGCTCTCTGCGGGGCTGTATCTCAGAACCCTGGGATCATGACCTGAGCCGAAGGCAGAGGCTTAACCCACTGAGCCACCCAGGCAACCCGAGAGAGAGAATCTTAAGCAGGCTCCACTCCCAGCACAGAGCCCGAAACAGGACTTGATCTCAGAACCCTGAGATCATAACTTGAGCCGAAATCAAGAATCGGACGCTTAACTGCCTGAGCCACTTAGGCACCCCTTAAGACTGTATGTTTTTTGTTTTTGTTTGTTTTTGTTTTTAAGATTTTATTTATTCGTTTATTTGTCAGTGAGAGAGAGAGTACACACAGACAGGCAGAGTGGCAGGCAGAGGCAACAAGAGAAGCAGGCTCCTGGCCGAGCAAGGAGCCCGATTTGGGACTCGATCCCAGGATCCTGGGATCATGACTGGAGCTGAAAGCAGTGGCTTAACCAGCTGAGCCACCCAGGCATCCCAAGACTGTATGTTTAAGTAATCTCTACACCCAACCTTGGGCTCAGACTTATAAGTCTGATATCAAGAGTCACATGCTCCACTGACTGAGCCAGCCACATTCCCCGCTTTTGCTGTTCTTAAAGAAAATTTCTGCGGGCACCTGGGTGGCTCAGTTGGTTGAGCGATTGCCTTCGGTTCAGGTTGTGATTCTGGAGTTCCAGGATCAAACCCTGCATTGGGCTCCCTGCTCAGCGGGGAGTCTTCTTCTCCCTCTGACCTCTCCCCTCTCATTCTCTCTCTCTCTCTCAAATAAATAAAATCTTAAAAGAAAAGAAAATTTCTGACTCGTAACATTTTATTCCTAAACTCTTCAGTAAGCCTATCTAAAAAACAAGGATATTTTTCTTCATAACCTTAATACCATCATTATTATCTTAAGAAAATTAATAATATATTTTAATATCACCTAACATCTAATCCATATTCAAAAGTTTCTCCCCAACTGTGCCCAGAATGTATTTTTTAAACAGGATGCAATCAAGTATTATGCATTACATTTGATAATTGTTTCTCTTAAAGTCTCTCTTCATTTGGACCAGTCTCCCCTCAGCTACACTTTTTTGCCTCATGACTGTGTCTTGTTGAAGAGTCCATACCAGTGTTCCTGGAATGAGCCTCTGAAAATGTAAATGCAGTCATGTCTTTCCCTGTTTTGTTGACAATAAAGTGCGGAGCACATAGTTGCCCAGTGACCTTTGGGTAGAGTACCACCTTCACCATGAACTGTATGTCAGGCCTGCACTGCTGTGGCCCAGGCAAATCCTCACTTGGTTCTATCTTCCTTCTCACTCAGAGCACTTCACGCGCAAACACTGATACCTTTCCATTTTCTTTAATTGCCCAAGCCCTTTCCTACCTCTGTGCCTTAGCCCTTGAAGATCCCCTTGGCCCAGCACTTTTCTCCAGCTCTTCACAGAACCGTCTCATTTTCATTCTTCAGTTTTCAGCCTAGTTGCATCCCCTTAGGGAGACCTTCTTTGACTCCAGCCCCTCAGAAAGGTCTTCTCTTCTCCATCCCCACCAGTTGTTCTCTATCGCATCTTCCTTTTATTTCCTTGTATTACCGTTTGCTTACTTACTTATTTTTTGTTTACCCCACTAAGTTGTAATCTCCCTTAGGGCATGGACCCCTACTTCCTAGCATAGTGCCTAGAATAGCATTCAAGAAGTATAGGTTGAATGAACCAACACTGACAAATGTTTGAGGAATGGGGTCTTCTGGGTGGCTCAGTCCATTAAGCATCTGTATTTGGCTCAGGTCATGGTCCTGGAATCGAGCCCCACACTGGGTTTCCTGCTGAGAAGGCAGCCTGCTTCTCCTCTCCCTCTGGCTGCCACTCCCTCTGTCCAGTAAATAAATAAAATATTTAAGAAAAGATGTTTGAGGAATGAACAAACACATCTCTGATACTGTCCTGAATGTAGGGTACAATGTATTGAATGTAGGACTTGTTCTCTGCTCCCATGATCTTCTGTCCTGTGATTACTGGGATCTGATCTGTTGCTTTTCCTACAACACTCCCCATTTTCAAAAATTCAGTTCTTTGAATCTCACTATCAATATTTACCATAGTAACAATATATAGTCTTATTTATTTTAACAGATTTAGTCAATAAATATTTGAATACGTTACTAGCATTGGAGTATCATCAGTGGAGGGAGAAAGATGAATAAAGTATCAGTATACAACTGATATATTGAAAGATGACTGAAGAATTGAGGTGATAATGCTAAAGAAAACTAAAGCAGGGAGGTGGAAAGAGATTGGAGAGACATGTGTTATCTTGTTCAGGGTGATCTGAAAAGACCTCTCTGATAAAGTGACACTTGAACAAAGACCTGAAGGAAGTGATGGGGCGAGGCATGCAGCTACCGGTGAGAAAAATTTTCTAAGTGTTGGGACTATGGAAAGAGACTCTGAAGAGAAATACTTTTTTAAGTAGTTGGCATTTTCAGGAAATAATAGGAAGATCACTGTAGCTGGAGAGAATGATCTAGGGAAATAGTTGAAGGAAATGATGTTGGACTGGTAGCAGAGTCCACAATGTATAGGACCTTGTAGACGATCGTAAAGACTTTAGGATTTATTCTGAATGACACGGGAAGCCATTGGAGGGTCCTAAGCAGAGGACTGTTCTTATCTGCCTTATATTCAAAAAGACCTCTTGGCTGTTGTGTACAGAAGAGAAGAAGCAGGCGAGGGTAGAAGCAGGCTATTGCAAAAACCAGGTAAGACATGAGGGAAATTTGGACTAGATGGAAATGAATGAGGAAGTGAAACATGGTTGGATTCTGCACATATTTTTTTAAAAATTACGGATTGGATGTAGGATATGGGGGAAAGAAAGGAGTCAGGATGATCCTATGGTTTGGAGCCTGGGCCACTGGAAGCACAGAGTTTGCATTTACTGTAATGGAGAAGACTGCAGGAGGAGTAAGATTGTGGAGGAAAAGCCAGCAATCGGATATGAACACACGAAGATAAAGGAGACAGTTGGATATATGAGTCTATAGCTCATGAGATAAATACAGGAGTCCTCAGGGCGTAAATGATATTTGAAGCCATAGCACCAAATTAGTTCACTTTGGAAGGAAGAGATTGTTGATAAAGAGGACCAGGATTGAGTCCTAGGATCCTCCAGTGTTTAGGGAAGATGAGAAAGACCCACCGAAGTAAACTTAAAAGGAATGGTCAATGAGTTAGGCAAAAAACTAAGGGAAGAGTTGTGTCCCAGAGGCCAAGGGAAGAGTAGATTTCAAGGTGGGTATAATCTGACAACTATGTCAGATGCCGCTAGGAAGATCAACAAGATGAGAGCAAAGATCAGTGTATTTCTATGGAGCATTTCATTCCTTTGTATTTAAATATGTTACATAAAAAGGAAATGTTATAATATGGATAGAAAACTTGTGTTGCTAGAAATAGAAGATAACTTTTCAAGTAAATGACAGGAGTGTTATTATTATTCTAGATAGATACTGTGGTTGTTCAGGCCTCTGAGCCCAAAGCCCACTGGCGATTAGCATTTTAGGGAAGGCCTAAAGGCTTTCCTGTACCAACTAAGATAATGCAAAAAACTGAAAGAGGGTTAACTTTTTCATAAACTTTCTCATATGCTGCCGTGGCAGCATAACCCCTCTGAAATCTCATATATTGGACCTATGCTTTACAAACATTGCACTAAACCATTGAGGTTTTTCATTTAAGTTTTTTCAATATTTTGCTAATCCCAGTACCCAAAATGAAAGATGGGACTCAACCATACTCTTTCCTTCTTCAGGAAGTGTTCTAGATCACAGTTTGGAAAGCCTTATCCACCGCCTTCGTGGTTTGTGCGACAATATGGAACCCGAGACTTTCCTTGACCATGAGATGGTATTCCTCCTTAAGGGCCAGCAGGCTAGTCCATTTGTTCTCAGGGCCCGGCGTTCTATGGATAGGGGAGGAGCACCCTGGCATCTGCGCTACCTGGGACAGCCAGAAATGGGAGACAAGAACCGCCATGCCCTGGTGCGCAATTGTGTAGACATTGCAACATCTGAGAACCTCACTGACTTCTTGATGGAAATGGGCTTCCGCATGGACCATGAGTTTGTCGCCAAGGGTCACTTGTTCCGTAAGGGTATCATGAAGATTATGGTGTACAAGATCTTCCGCATCCTGGTGCCAGGAAACACAGACAGCACCGAGGCCTTATCACTTTCCTATCTTGTGGAACTAAGTGTTGTTGCCCCAGCTGGTCAGGACATGGTCTCTGATGACATGAGGAACTTTGCCGAGCAGCTGAAACCTCTGGTTCACCTAGAGAAAATAGACCCCAAGAGGCTCATGTGACTAAGACAGTCTCTCTGCCACTGGGGCCTGACCTCACCTGTTACAAAAAAGAAGATGTTATAAAGGCTCCATTTCACCACTGCCAGCCGGGCATTCTTCCCCCAGAAAGGAGGACAATAAGGACTTCATTGGTTCTGTACAGTTTTCCTCATGTCGCAAGTTCACCTCTGTGACAGGCTTTCCAAATGAAAGACTTAGGATAACAAGACTCTATCCAGTCCTTCTGTATAAGGAAGGGAAACTGGAATAAATTAGCTTTTAGAAAGGAAAATCTTTTACTTGTTTTGCTGTTTGTGTATAAGACTGCGAGCTTGTACTGTGTGGTAATAAAAGCTATGAAGAGAAACATCTGTGATTCCAATTCTTCATCACCCTGCTAATTTGGGATGGATTCCCTACCAGCTGGAACAACCAAAAAAAAAAAATGACAGTTTTTAGTTTTAATTCTGATAGAGGTTGATAGTTTTTACCTTTAACCAAAGTATCACGTTCACTGAAAAAAAAATTTTTTTTAAAGATTTTATTTATTTATTTGACAGAGAGAGACACAGCAAGAGAGGGAACACAGGCAGGGAGAGTGGGAGAGGGAGAAACAGGCTCTCCGCCGAGCAAGGAGCTTGATATGGGACTCAATCCCAGGACGCTGAGATCATGACCTGAGCCGAAGGCAGACGCTTAACAGCTGAACCACCCAGGTGCTCCAAAAAATTTTTAAATACAGACAAAAATAAGAAAACCTGTAATCCTATAATTCAAAAAGATATACTATATTCTGTTATATGTCCTTTTAGTCTTTATTTTATAAATTTATATATATGAGATTGATTAACCAATTGATTGATTTTTTTAAGATTTTATTTATTTGACAGAGAGAGACATACCGAGAGAGGGAGCACAAGCAGGGGGAGTGGGAGAGGGAGAAAGCAGGCTTCCCGCCATGCAGGGAGCCTGATGCGGGGCTCAAACCCAGGACCCTGAGATCATGACCCAAGCCGAAGGCAGACACTTAACAACTGAGCCACCCAGGTGCCCCAAGATATATTTATTTTATAAAATATTAGTTTATACCCTTCTCTTTTTGTTTGTTTGTTTGTTTGTTTGTTTAATCACCTTTTCAGGACATTAAGCTATAGTGCTCTTCTGTAAAAACAAAAACCCCATTAAAATAGGGAATTGAGGCAGAGATTAATTAGCTTTTCCTGGGCTATACAGATACTAATTAGCAGAGATGGTATGTAAATATTGATAATTATAATTGCTATGTGTATCCCATCATGTGGATTTTCCATAACTCATTGATTCCCCTACTTTGGAATTTTTAGTTTGTTCCTAATTTTTGGCTTTTAAAAACATCCTCTAGGGGTACCTGGGTGGCTCAGTTTATTGAGCATGTGACTCAGTTTCAGCTCAGGTGGTGATCTTGGGATCATGGGACTGAGCCCCATGCGGCCTTCATGCTGGGGGCAGAATCTGCTTAAGATTATCTCTCTCCCTCTGCCTCTCCCCCTGCTGCCACACTCACTCTCTTAAGATTAATGGATAAAATCTTAAAAAAAAAAAAAAATCCTGTAATGCTAGTGCTTTTAATAAAATCATTGTTCACATCTATGACTATTCTTTAGGATAAATTCTAGGGAACTGCTGAGTCAAACAGTAAGCGCTATTTTAAGACTTCTGCCATGCATTGCCAAATGCCTTCCAGAAATGTCCCAGTTTTCACTCCCACCAGCTGTAAATGAGGTTCCCAAAAATGTTGCCAAAACTGGGTATGACTATGAAAACTTGTTTTTCCCATTTGATGATAAATGGTAACTAGTTTGAATTTTCTTTTTTTTTTTCTTTTATTTTTTTATGTAAGCTCTATGCTTAATGTGGGGCTTGAACTCATGACCCCAAGATCAAGAGCCGTGCACTCTACCGACTGAGCCAGCTAGGTGCTCAAGTTTTCTTTTTCTTTTTTTAAAGATTTTTTTTTTTTTTTTTGAGAGAGTGCATGAGCTAGAGTGAGCGACAGAGGGAGAGGGAGAAGCAGACCCCCCACTGAGCAGGGAGCCTAATAGGGGGGCTCAATCCCAGAGCCCCAAGACCATGACCTGAACCAAAGTCAGAGACTTAACCAACAGAGCCACCCAGATGCCCCAATATTTTTTGTTTTTTTTTTTTAAGTAACAGTTCTTCGTGGGATCGATTGTAGCTCATTTTAATACTTCTAGAGTTAATACACTGGAGAGAGTTTGGTTTGCTAAAAAATTTTAGGTTATTCAGAATTTTCATTTTTTTCTGGGATATCCACTTACATCACACCCCTGTTGAGCTACATTGGACAAATCAGTTGTTTTTGGCATTGCTTAAAAGATGATATGAATATTCTGTTAGGATGCTTTGGGCTACAAGTAACAGAAAAGCCACCCCCCCCCCAAAAAAAGAAAAGCCATCCCAAGCTGCCTTAAACCGTAAGGATGGAGTGATCTCACATGATGATAAATTCTAAGATGGGGTGGCTTCCAAGTTGGGGAGCTGGTTATTTCTCTGGCTCTGGGAACCTGTTCTTGGCTTTCCCCTGAATGTTTTCAAGATAGCTTCCCCCACCCCCTCAGTTGTGGATTGCATAAATGGGTAAATCCTGTTCCTTTCTTCACAGGCATATTAGCATAATGATTCAGGCAAGGCCCCTTCTGGTTTTGTACTCTTCCCCTTTATTCCTAAACTCTACTCTCACTCCCACTTTCCTCCCATTTTGATATGTTTAATGTATGTCTCTGTTGTCTGCCTGGTAATATGTAGAGTTATATGCACATACTTACTTCACACAAATGACACTGTGCTATACATGTTGCCTTTTTTTTTTTTTTTCACTTTTAAAAAATTAACATTGCTTTTGTGATATGCTCTTGTTGCCATGTATAAACCTACCTCGGGGTGCCTGGGTGGCTCAGTCGTTAAGCATGTCCCTTCGGCTCGGGTCAGGTCATGGTCTCAGGGTCCTGGGATCGAGCCCTGCATCAAGCCTCACATGGAGCCCCGCATTGGGCTCCCTGCTTGGCAGGGAGAGTGCTTCTCCCTCTCCCACTCCCCCTTTTGTGTTCCCTCTCTCACTGTCTCTGTCAAGTTAATAAATAAAATCTTAAAAAAAAAAACCTACCTCATAACTTCTAACTTACATGTGCTTTCATACTAACAGGAATATTAATACTCGAGTAGTGCTTAACTCTGGCAGGTGCTTTAAATGTTTTAACTCACATACTTCTTCCAATAGCCCTGAGGTAGATATTATTAACTCCCATTTTACTGATGAGAGGAAGACAAAGAGAACTTGCTCGAATTTTCTATTTCTGTTGTTCAAAGTCAGAATTAGTAAATGGTGGAGCCTGAATTTCCACTGTCTTGCTCTGGAAGCCAGTCACATCTCCACTTTGCCTCCATCCATGTTTTTTGCCCATTCAGTCCCTTGAGGATGGAAACCTGGATTACCCTCAACTCTCTTTACCATAAAAAGTACTACAATAAGCAAATGTACAGATTGAGGTGGAATATTCCTCTGAACCACCTACCTGTGGGCATGCTCGATCTGCCAAACATTGCCAGGTATCTTTTCAGAAGGGCTGTGCTATTTCACATTCCTATTACCAGTGCCTAAGAACTCATACCCACATCCTCCTTATAACCTGTGCCAGTTTGGAGGATATCAAGTGGCAGCTTTTGGCTGTTTTGATTTGCATTTCTTGGTTCTAATCAAATTCGAGCCTTTTTAAATATGCCTTTTAGGCACGTGCACCCAAATGTTCATAGCAGCAATGTCCACAATAGCCAAACTATGGAAAGAACCTACATGTCCATCAACAGATGAATGGATAAAGAAGATGTGGTATATATATACAATGGAATACTATGCAGCCATCAAAAGAAATGAAATCTTGCCATTTGCAGCAACATGGATGGAACTAGAGGGTATTATGCTGAGCGAAATAAGTCAATCAGAGAAAGGCAATTATCATATGATCTCCCTGATATGAGGAAGTTGAGAGGCAACGTGGGGGATTTGGGGGGTAGGAAAAGAATAAATGGAACAAGATGGGATCGAGAGGGAGACGAACCATAAGAGACTCTTAATCTCGCAACAACAAACTGAGGGTTGCCAGGGGAAGGGGGTAGGGAGAGCTGGTGGGGTTATGGACGTTGGGGAAGGTGTGTGCTATGGTGAGTGCTGTGAAGTGTGTAAACCTGGCGATTCATAGATCTGTACCCCTGGGACTAATAATACCTTATATGTTAATAAAAAAATAAAAAATTTAGGGGCGTCTGGGTGGCTCAGTGGGTTAAAGCCTCTGCCTTGGGCTCGGGTCATGATTCCAGGGTCCTGGGATCCAGCCCCGTATCAGGCTCTCTGCTCTGCAGGGAGCCTGCTTCCTCCTCTCTTTCTGCCTGCCTCTCTGCCTACTTGTGAACTATGTCAAATAAATAAATAAAATCTTTAAAATAAATAAATGAGTACTTAAAAATTTTTTTAAATAAATATGCCTTTTATATATGACTTTGTATAGACTTCTTAGTCTATACAATGTGAAACTCACTGTGAAACTAAGGTGCCTATATCCTTTGCCTGTTTTTCTATTTGGTTTCCTCTATTATTGGTTGGTAGAAATTACGTGTATATTCTAGACATTCCATGTTTGTTTTAAACATCACAGTTCCTTCTCCCAGTCTGTCACCTTCCTGTTAACTTTGTCTGTGATGTGATATTGTTAGTTAAGCATATGCCCTAAATTTTGACTTTATGATTTGTAATCTCGTTTAGAAAGTCTTTATTTACCCAGAGGTAACAGTTTTTCCTTTTTAGCTTTATAGTTTAAATTTCTGACACTCAAGTCTTTCATCGGAATCTACCTTTAACATAATTTCAAGTGAAAATCCAGATTTTTTTTCCTCCATACAGTGAATTCGTTTTTCTATCACCATTGAAAAATAGTCTTTCTAATGCTTTGTGAGCCACCTTTATCATATATTAAGTTCCCCTGTCTATACTTTCTTTCTAAACTCTCCATTCTATTCCATTGGTCTTTTTCTTCATTTCAGTGCCAGCAACACAATGTTTTTATTACCGAGGCTTTGTTGTAGGGCCAGTTCTACCAGTAGGACAGGTAGCCTGACTTTTATTTCCCTCTCAAAATAGACTTAGCTTTCGTAGACCTTTATTCTATCATATTCACTTTATTTTTTTATTGTATCATTTTTATTTTTATTTCTTTCATAGTCATTTTAGAATAAGTTTCCGTTTCTCACCATTACTACTAGAATTTTTATTGAAGTTTCATTGACTATATATAGATTAATTTAGGGGAGAACTGACA